GAGAGAAAGAGAGAGAGAGAGAGAGAGAGAGAGAGAGAGAGAGAGAAAGAGGAAAGGGTGAATCAGGTAAGGGGGTGAGACGGCGTGCTTCCTGGTAGAAATCTGAAACAAACGAGCAACATTCCGTCCGTCGTAGCTTTCTGTGCAAATGTAATCGTGCGCCAGGTTCGCGGAATTGGCATGATACACGCTGTGACACGCAATGCTTCAAAGAGCCCAATCAAGTCGAAGGTACTTAAATTGAAACGCGACAAGCGTAGAATGCACGCCCGCGAACAACGCACTCGCGAGATTACGAGATGCAATTTTTTTGCGAAAAAGTTTAATGAAATATAATCTATAATCTATAATAAACGAGAACGACTTGCAATACATCTAGAGAAAAGTTATGTTTAAATTGAAATCGTTCCTTCGATTAATTTTTTTTTTTAATTGGAGTGAAAATACCTTTGAGGAAAATAAAAATTTACTTGATTTCAAGAAATAACGTTCAACTCAAAGAAATTTTTCTTTAACCGTATAGTAATGCATAAATTTCTTTAATTCAAATAAATTTTTTTTGTATATAATAATTTTGATTTTATAATAACTGTACGTAATATTTTTAATAGAAGTAAAATAATTATGTATGTATAACTATGTGGAGAACTATATAAATAGAATATATAATAGAATATCTAATTAATAAGTCGTTAATAAAATTGTTTAATAATTAAATAGATCTCATTTACAGTTCAGATTTTATATAAAAACATTAAAATTTTTTGAAAAACAAAGTTTTGTTACTTATACGAATAGATATTATTTAATTTAAAACATATAAATTTGTAACAATTTTATCATAATAAGCTCACTAATAAATTTCCAACTGTATAAAATAGGTACTATTTACATATCTCCAATTTTTTTAAATCCACATATCTCAAAGCTACAAATTTTTTCTGACTCACTCGATATTCATCATCATAATATAAGTGGCGCATCAACTGTAAAACACGCAAAAAAGAGCACGCTCCCATGACCAAATTCTTTTTTTTCCTCCCGAAGAGAAATTAACCCTCTAAACGGCTATTAGAGCCAAGCGGTGAGCGTCCGCGTTTTCTCTGAGAATAGACGATCTAATTCTGTGGAGACGAGAGGAAGCGAGGAACGAGCTGATGGAGCGGGACGAAGCGAGAAAGACGGACCACCGTGATTGCAATTTTAACGCCAATTTGACTTGAATCTTCTCAGTCCGAAAGAAATACTGTTTTCATGCTCAATATAGCGGCTCGCTAATAATTAACAGCCAACTCGTGGCACTTTGCACATACAGGGTGTCTCGATGCTACGAAATATATAATTTGTATCTCGGGAGTTTTTAAACTATTCGCAATTTTAAACAATTAATATTAATTTGTATAAAGCAAATTGTAATATTGTATTTACATTATCTATAAACTAATGACTTTAATTTTATATTAAATTATCTCAATTCGCAAATTTGCTTTAAATACTAATAATAAATATAGATCATTATATTGTTGTCAATTATTATATTATTATTAAATTATACAAATATACGTAGGTATAAATTTATTACATAATCAGAAACTAAAAAGAAATCCTATTAAATTGCAGATAAATTAATTTTGTTCTATAATATCTAAAGATTCTAGATTATTTTAAAGATAATGATAATTAGAAATTAACACATTATTTACAATCTCACAATAATCAAATTTTGTTGAAGATATTAGAAAGAGAAATTGTCAACGATTGTATAACATCATACGTAGAAATTTGCAATCAATAGCGAATGTTCAAGTGAAATTCTACGATACACCGAGTACGTGTACTGAGTAGGTCTTACAGTGCTAGCGGGTGGTCCTCATTATGTCGGGTTCCCCACTGCTTACCCTCGCGTCCTATCTATTTAACGTATCGTTTGCCTTGGTAACCATCCAAATTAGCTCATCCTTCTCTATCTCACACCAACGGCATCTCTCGATACCGCTCGTGTCCTCCTTCATTATTAGGAAGACGATGTTTAATAATGACGATCCTACCGTCACGGTGTGCTCTAATCAAAAACACTCGGTTCTTGCAAAAGTTTACATCGTAATGATGAATAACTAGCTTATTTAGAATATTGTCACAGAATGTGACAATACTTTAAGTGATTTTTCAACACTGCAAGTGTTTCTTGTATAAATTTTTTTTAATTGTAAGAAGATAAAGTCAATGTAATTTTAATTCGATTGATTAGTAAGAATTGACTACCGACGAGATACTGAATCAGTACCTACCAATTTTTACATGTCAGTACAGATATGGTACAGAAAGAATATTGGGATAATAGAAATGGGTCTTATATTACTTATAATACAGTATTACGGTACGGAGTTGTTGTACTAAATACAGACACTATCTGTTGTACTGTCTCAACACTGACATCTGACACACTGATTTTGGATAATTTCAGTATAGACACAATTCCAAAAATGCACTGATAATATATTGAATCGGTACTACTATTCAATACTGACCCACATTGAAATCAGTATTGAATAGCCATACCATATCAGTGTTTTAAATACAGGTCCAGTACTGAAATGGAAAATTCATTTTTTGGTACAGAATCGATATTTCGCCAGGATTCAATATTAACCTACAGTACAAATTCCTATCCTCTACTATAAAAAAATTCTCTGCAAAAAATCTACATAAAAATATTACAATTTTTGGGAAAAATTTACCTTGGGATTATTTCGAATAACTACGATTAATTTTCAAGAAACCAGTCCAAGAGAACAAAGTTACGACCTCGCCAATCGGACACGCAAATTTATCTTGGGAGGAAAACGGGATAGATATGCTCACGGAAGCGAATTTAAAAGTCAATGGCCTGTAAACATTAATGCCTCGAGTAACGAAAGATAGCGAAGTGCTTTGTTACGGGAGTTTATGAGCCTCTTTATTGCCATCGTGATTTCTTCCCGATTGCCGAGCGTGCAGCTAGCGTAATATCGTGCTGTTGTAAGTCTACCGATTTAGCCGCGAGAGAAGTTAACTGGCGACGAATCGTCTTATGTATCTCTCCTTCGTTACATATAACGCTAGTCTCAGATGATATCGACAGATGAATAACAATTTCTTAGAAAGACAGTTGCGTGGAAATGCACCCACCTCAACAATGCATATCTATATTTCGACTCTAGTTGAGCGGCATCATTAAATGTCACGAAGCATTCTATATGCTAATTGATCCTCGAGAGACAATCGCACATCTGTTTTATATCAAATGTCTTCTACGGAATTTTTATTCACGATTAATAACTTTGCTTGTTAGGGTCTTTATTAAGTCAAACGAAACAGACGCGCATTGTCGTCTCGATATTCTTTACCTAGTAAAGATTATTACGAATAATGTAACGATATAAACTCGTTTGCACTGGTTTGGTGCGCGATACGTTTTTGGAATTCAACATCGATTCCGATAAAGCGGCGAAAATAGACGTCGCGCGGATTTCCGCGCGATGAAATTTACGGCGCCAGCCAATTCCGTGAAAATGGAAGAACGTCCGCGAGGTTTTATTCGGCGGGTATGGGTGTTGCTGGTGCTTTATCGACACCCCTATCGGGACTCATTTGTTTTTGCTTATCGCAAAGTTACGTGACGGAGCTACCGTAAATATGACGGACGGGTGCGCGACGATGGAATCTCAGTGCGCCGTCAGAACAAACGAGCACCACGAACGAACCCCAAAAATCTCCCGACACGCGGCGACGCGACGCGACGCGACGCGACGGCTCGATTTAGGGGCTGAACGTCGAGAGGGAAGTCTCGAGACTGAGAGGGGTTGACGTTCGACTGCGAATCGATATGCCTACCTACCTACCTACATGCGCGAGCAAACCGTATCTTCCAGTACTGGACCAGGAAAACATGGCCGAAATTTCGGAATTCTCACATTTTCGTGTCTCGCGTATTCGTTGTGATTATGATTTAAACCTCACGACGAAATTTACATTTAATGCAGTAATATGTTTTAAATTGTATAATTAATACAGTGTAATAATTAATAGTATTTACTTTTTGGAAAATTGTAATCAAATGTTATCAAATGTCAAAGAATGACATAATAAATCGCTTATTAATTTTTAATAAGAAAAATGTGATAAACGTACTGTATCAATTTTTAAAAGTAAATTGCTTGCCAAATTTAAAATCATGAATTTAAATGTTTCACAAATCAATATACAAATCAAATGTCTTGACTAAAAATTAGTTGCAAAATAGTCTTGTTATTTATGTTTTTTTTTCTTGTAATTAAATTAAAGATGTGTTATATTTTCAACATAACATGTTTTCTTCATAATTAAATCTATCAATTTTATGTTAGGACAAAGATAAAGCTATCGACGTATTTATAAAAAATGTAGCGCGATAAAAAGTCAAAGACTTTTTTTTAGATGTTTTTACTTTGCTTTTTGCTTATCACAACGACATTTCATATCGATTAATCCAAACATGATCTCCTCTTCATCGGTGCCATTTAATACAACGACAATTGAAAACTATCCGCACTCTTAATTTTTTTTTTTTCAATCTTAATCACCCCGCCTAATTGCTCAATTGCGCTCATTACCGTCTCCGACGTAGTAAAGCGAGTGGCGATTAAATCTTTCTCTCGTCGCCGTTCCCTTCCCCCGCTGCTCCGCTCCGTGACGGCACGTCGCATTTGCACGAGAGAAACTTATCCCTCGGTACAAAAATCGCTGTATAGATAATTCCGCCTGAGTCCCAGCCATGGGGCGGAGCGTCGCGAGGAATGCCCCCGTTAGTAGTTCCCAGCCTCGCCCCGTTCTGATCCTCTCCTTCTCGCTCTATCACTCGGATTCCCCACTTCCACGAAGAGACCTCTCTTCCGTCGACGAGCGTTCGACCCCACCACAAGCGCTTAGCCGAAGGCAAAACGAAAAATCAGGGCGGTGCTGGTTGAACGGTCAAACTCAGTCCACACGGAGAGCTCGGCTTGGCTAGAAGCTATCCAGAGCTGCTGGTCAACGATCATTGATCCACGAGTCCACAAGAGCTGTCAAACGTCGACGAACAATTATTCCTGGTGCGATCGATGTGCCTCACGCGCGTCCTTCTCCGGAGCTGACCGTTGGCGAATGTTTGGAAATCCCGGATTTTGCATTCGTGAGAGATCATGTATGAGTCAGTGAGGAGTCATTCGTGAAGCAGTGAACTACGTCGAGCATTTAAGTCCGTCGCGGAATGAGCAGATAGCTCTTGTTCAGAAATATCGAAATCTTGTTATTGCGGATCCAAGCAGTGTGCTAATCGACGTATAAGGTGATCGATCGACGTTTAAGAATGACAGTAATAAGGATGACCTCGCCGGTCACGCCTGCATCGACCAGTCCGGACTCGTCAGACGAGACTCAGGCGTTGCAGGCAAGTCCTAAACCGGCTCATCGATTGAGCTTCTCTGTCGCGGCTCTGCTAGCCGATACTAGAAAATCGTCAGAGTCCTCGACAAGACAGGACGCGATTCTAACATCACCCAGATCGTCACCGATCGTATCGTACGCGATTCGACAGGAGCCTCGTATGCTGAAGCATCCATGTGATTTCAAAACATCAAGATACACTTTAGCATCGTCGCCCAATCTTAATCAAGACGCTAGATTGATTCGTTGCGTCTCTCCTCACAATACTTCGGAGCCCAGAACTCCGCCGAGATATCCCGAAGCGATCGATTATGCTTGCAATATCGAATCACCCGGCAGAAGATCAACCTCTGGTAGCTTGGATTACCGCATGCATCCATCCACCGACGCTAGTACCACACCAGAACCTATGGTAGGCTGTTCTTCGTCTCCGAAGATCGGCAATCATCAGGACGCCGGCTCGCAATCACCGAGAAGCAGCTCTCACGGTGAGGCTCATTCGAGGTGTTCGGAAACGGACGATATCGAAGAGGATGATGAGAGCAGACTGGTTGACGTGGAAGATCTTCAGCATCATCCGTCCAGCCCAACTCCCGTTAGGCCGACACCGGCGTATCTTGGTGGTTTCGCTACCATCAGCGGTATCCCGGAGATCCCTAGTCTTCATCCCGCAGTCTGGGGCGGCGGACATCAAAATGCAGCCGCAGCCGCTGCGGCGGGCGCCGCCGGCGCCGCCCCACACCCCCTCCTCCCCCCTCTCTCTCCTCCTCGGGGGCGGCTGCAGCGGCCGCAGCCACAGCCACATTCTTCCCTTCTCACTTCTCTCATCATGCTCCTCTAAACGGTAAGTGTCTTTTATTTTTTAGCGATCTATATATATATTTTTTAAATATTGAATAGTTGATTAGTTGAATAGTTGATTAAATCAACTAATTCGATATCTTTAATTATACCTAATGTAAATCTTCTTATTAGTGATACTAAAACTAGAAAAGGAAACGATATTCGAAACAGAAATCTCCTTTTCTTTTATATTCTTTTATATTCTGAATAATAGTTCTCCTAAGTAACCATTAATCGTTTCATTAAGTAGTCATTAATCATTTGATCGTTCTAACGTTTAATTTCAAAAGAGACAATCTATTTGGCCGTGCGACGACAACTGTGTTTGCGATTGTCTTTGAACTTTGGCGGAGTGCCAATCGCCCTTGTGTTTCTCGGCAGATTCTTTTCATGGTTCATTGCAGCTAAAGCGATTACGCGGTTACAGACGCGGTTTACGGATGGCAATTTCTCGCTGCTATATAAAATCCAGACAACTTTACTCTTTATCGATGTGTAATATCGAACGTGATGATATTCTGAAAACATAAGCTTCACAGAAGGTTATCTCGTGGTAATAATCACGCAAATATACTTTCTGTTTACAATTTTACAACTCAATAAAATAACTATTTTATAATCTGTAATATTTTCTACAAATTTTTAAATCATAAATCTCTAACGTTAAATTCTAACGTTAATAATTAATACAAAACATTACCGATATATAATGTATTCATTAATTATTTGACACGATTGCAAATAAATGATATCACTTTCGACAATAATTAGTTAAAGGATTTATGGATTACAATGATTGTTGAAAAGGCAATCTCTGCGACGTCATTTTGCTTCATCAAGCAACTTAATTAAAGACGCACGGACTACATTTTGCTCGTGGATTTTTTGACGAAACAATGTGTAATTGTTGTAGAAAGGTGAAACAAATCGAACAAAAATCAACGAACGAAAATTGATTCTGCAACGACCGCTTCGGCCGCTGCTGAATGATAGCCTACCGTCGCTCGACCGGGCCAAATAATTCTCATGTATTTTCACTTGATAAATGATTATTATAAAAACATTTTCCTATGATTCATAGATAAAACATTTATCTAATATTACGCGATAAAATGAAACTCGATGCTCTTCAAACATTTAATAATTTTTACACCAAATTTAATTAGTTTATTTGTCTGTATATATGATAATTATCAATTTTTTTATAAATTCAACCTTCGATTACCGTAGATTAATTTATATAGCAAATATAATTATTTAAAGTACATTTAAGAATTTAAAAAATTTTAATATATAAATAAAAATATGTCTATGTTAAATTTTAATATTTAAGTATTCTGAAAATATAAATATAAATAAAACAAAATTTAGTCCGAAAATAAAAATAGCTATTTGTGTTCTATTGTAAATATAAGAAATTCTCAAATAAGATCCCATATGAAATATACAGTACGGGAAAAATGCCATAATTCTGAAATATGAACTCTCGTAGAGGGTATTTTCACAGATCGGCGCACCCCTTCAAAGTTTTACGCTACCGTTCTTTTATCGTGATTATCTTAAATAAGTGATTCTGTACCATAAAAAAAAATTTATTGGTTATACAAGTGGCAAACTTTAGACAGTTACATCTTTAAATTGTCCAAACAATTATAAACACACAATTCTTTTGAAATGTTGCTTTCTAATATAATTTGAGTGCTACTAAAAGAAAAAAAAATATTTTTTTTTTACAGTTATTTTTAACAGACACAAAAATATCGAAAAATTTACGTTATTTAAATATAACAATATTTCAAATATAAATTTATTAAAATATATTCTTGATATGTTTCTTAAAATAAATTATTAAACTTTCTTATTACATTTGTCTCATACAGCTATATAAATTTAAAAAAATCATAATTTTTTAAAATAAAAACACGATTTTTCTGATATTATAATATAATATGTAACAGCAGATCTCTCAATGTTTTTATTTGTTTTATTCGTAAATATCTGAAACTAAAATCTTTTTTAAAAGTACAGTATTGATATACAAGCGCAGTGAGAATATCAAGCATAATCACGAAATTATATCACGAAAGTTAATCTTTTCGATCGTTATGCAATAAAAGACATCCAACCATCCACGATTCTTCCTTTCCAGTTTGCACTACATTCGATGATCGTTGTGCATTCATGGAACACGTTTATCTCGATGGAATCAGCTAATTATTTCGAATGTACATTCTCGATCGGTAGCTCAGGATTGAAATCGGCCTCCACGTTTTTGGTAGCCCCGCGACACGGAGAGATCAACGGATGCCGAGACTAATTGGAACCCTTAGCGAGCGGTGAGGAGGCGTATACAAAGGACAATTTCAAAGTAGGATCGAGTATGAGGCATACTATCATGTTATAAGTCTGGGTTGATGCGTAGAGAATCTTGGAACGACAACAGAGAGAGAGAGGGAGGAATGAGGAGAACAAGGCGAAGGGAGGTGAGCGAAGGGTGGTTCTGAATTTGAAATTCAGAAACGACAACTGCCAAGACGACAACGACGTGGCCTTTTGTCTCGTCGTGATCTCGGCTCGCTTCTTCTGTACAGAAGCTGTTCACCTCCGTTCTACAAATCTGTCAATTGTCTCGAGACAAATCTCGAGGAATATAACCGATATATTCCAATACCGGACTCCCTGTATATTCCTTTCGGTTCTGTAGTAGCTTGACGCGTCTTCGATTATCTGAACGCGGTATGGAGGCATAGACGATATATTCTGTATATTGAGCTTTTAGATACTTAAAACATATGTTGAATACGTATTTAAAATTATTTTCTTTCTAACCATGAATTGTAGGATTTAAATGAAGCAACGATTCAGGAATTTTATAGGGAAGCAATTAAAGAGTATTATAAATTAGTGAAATGGCGCACAATTTTCCTTGAATTTTTCGCATCAATTTCTTAATAAATTATTTATAAGAATATTGAAGTTTTTTAGGTGTATTATTTGAAATTTTATACAATCAAATTAAAAAATTTCACCAGGTTTCTTCTCTGATTAAGAAGTTGATGTTATAAATGTAACAAATTGATATTAATACAATTCATTAGTATGCTTCTGTTAAACACAAAATCTACGATCATGATTGAGAAAATAATTTGACATTAACCCTCGACAAGCGTTGTAAATAACGTCCAATTAACCGATGCCGCGATCGCGTCTTTTTCTAAACAGCGAACGAAGAATACCAAGCTCACCAACGACGTCTTCCTTCACGCGAGCAGGCGTTACGATCGGAACTCTTATGCCGAGCGGTAGTCGCGGCCCAGCCGTGTAGAAACAATTCGCGGCCGGAATTTTGCGGTCGGACGGCAAAAAAGTAATGAGGCCAGTTTGCGGCGCCGTTCCGACGGAAAAATTATGAATTGCACCCTAAAAAGACGGCGTTTGCCCTCGCTGGGCTATTCCGTCGGTTCGAGGCCGACAAAAACGGGACATTGCGGTCTCGGGCCCTTTTCTCCGTTGGCCTACCTATCCCGCGGAACACCTTCGCGAGAGGACTATCTGTCCGTCAGTTTGTTCCTACGAGCATAATGCTCGTCGCTGTTCTCGTGCGCAACATGCACTTCGACTGAAAGCGTGTTCCTTTTTTTTTCTTTCAGAGAACGGCGAACCAGCTAAGATTAAGTGCAACCTGAGGAAACACAAGCCAAACCGAAAGCCCAGAACGCCCTTCACGACCCAACAGTTACTGGCCCTCGAGAAGAAATTCAGAGAGAGGCAATACTTGAGCGTTGCCGAGAGGGCAGAGTTCTCGTCCTCATTGCACCTCACGGAGACACAGGTAAAAATTTACTTTGTGTATGAACTACGAATTAGTTATCAATTGATATCAAATTGTCCTAATAAGAAATGATCATGTCGTATGGCGAATAATTTAATTAAATTAATAATTTTTAAATCATAGATATAAATATAATAATAAGTATTCACTAATAAAGCATGTACAAAATCATGGCTGATTTTCTTTTAAAATTAAGAGTCTTTCTCAATTTCTCTAATCTTTTATATAAGATACCAACATCATTTCGCAAATGCTTGTAATACTAATTAGTAAATAAACTATCAATTTGCTCAATTCTTATCTCTTACTTTTACTTACAATCATTTAAAATTTATTAACAATTTATTGTAAATTATTACATAGTTTATTACTTTATCATAAATTATTGCAAGAGTTTACAAAGATAGGTTGTTGAGAAAATCAAAGTTGGAAGAGTTTGGTTGAGAATCATATAAATTCTCTTCATTCGTTATCGATTGTGACGGTTACGCAACCAAATTAGCACACTAGTATCCTGCCCGTGAGAATCGTAATTTCTTCTTCGAGAGACTGATTTTTCATGCGATAGACTCTCTTTTGCTAGACTCTCAAACATAACTCTCTAACACTAGCAGTATACTCCCCACATCTTTCGTCACTTTTATTTCCTCGGTGCCATTCACGAGTCAAAACAGCACGTCTCTCAGAGCTTAGTTATGGTAACCGTACGGCGCTGGCAGATGCGCGGTAATTAGCGCGCGTAAATGCGCGCTACCCGAGCCGGCGATACAAAGCAAAGAAGACGGTAATTTTATTAATAGACTACAAATTGCCTGAAACGCGCCTGTTCCACGATATCACGCGATGACCGGCCAATTATCTCCGGATGAGATCCCGATTCTCTGGCAGCGATTTCCGAAACACATTCCGCGTGCTTTCGCGCGTACGAAACATAGCGAACACGGTGAGCGCGAACTCATTTCCGCGCGGATTCTGCTGCTCCGAAATGACCCGACAACAACTACGTCGATTATTCGATTAAGATAGACGTCGATAAAATTGCACTGAGGGGTAACGGTTTGTTTATGGCCGCAGATGCGCCGCCACGATATCGCGGATTATTTATCAGTTCCTCTTCTCGACTTCATCGCGATATCGTCGAGTCGTTTGCCAAAATTATACCCACCAAATAACATTTCAATGGAATATAATGTGCTCTGTCTTCTAGTTTATTTTCAAGATTTTAAATGCGATGCCAAATGCGAATTTCAAACTGCGAATTTCAACGATCGAACAAAATTACACAAAATTATACGTTGCCATAAAACTACAATTTATTTCTATTGCATTTAAAATTAATGTTGAGTAAATGTTGTCTAGTTAATATTAACATAGATATCATCAGACATTATTACTGATATTCTGTGATAGCCATTTGCCCTGTGTTAATTCCATATTTAAAAAGAAATTATTTTCGGTGCTTTTAACACAAATAATAAAGAAAGGTTCACTTAACATTGCTCTCTCTTTTTAAATTATTTTGTACATTTAATTGCTTCCCTATATTTGTTCTGTCTACATTTATATATTATTAATATAATTTTACTCGTTCGCAATACGTATAAATTTGGAAGCTATCATCTCAACACCGTTATATTCCGAATAATCTGTTGAGTCATGCTAAAATATACTTGTACGAATACACGAAGGTGCGAGTTATCATATATTCCGTATTAGTCACCATGTCGGAACTCATCATCTTAAATACGCCGTAAAGTCAAATTGATTTATTGTTGCAGGTAAAGATCTGGTTTCAGAACCGACGTGCCAAGGCGAAACGTTTGCAAGAAGCGGAAATCGAGAAGCTGAGAATGTCGGCCGTGAGACAGCATCATACGGCGCTATACGGCTCGCATCCGGGGATCTTAACCCCCGCGGGACTTTATCCCGTAGGAATGCTGTCTCATCCCGGTTTGACGCCTCATCACGCAATCGCTCAGCATCCTGCGAGGGAATGAGAGCAACAAATGTTCGATACCGGTTAGAAACTGGTTGAAATGAATCTGTCGTCGAATCTCACATCAAGAATAATTTCGGCTACGCGAAAAGGGCAGGCTTAAAAATTACTGCAGTTGATAAATAATATTAAAATGATCTCGAGAAAAAAAAGGAGAGAGAGAGAGAGAGAGAGAAAGAGAGAAATTTCGTCATCGGTTTTATATACTTTTTCCAGTATTAGTTTAATAAAGAAGTGAAGGCTCACAAGTCTGTTAAGAAATTCGTCTGTGCCAATGTCGCCCGTCTTGAAAAGGCTGGAAACTATTGTAAATAGAATTGTAAATATTATTCATGTACGCGTTAATTACTTTGTACATAAATACCTAGTGATACCTATTTGAGAAATGGGGTTGCATTTGCATCGCTGAATGCAAGTAATAAAACGAATGAATCTTGGTAGTTTAGAGAGAATTCTTTTTCCAATTTTGTATAAATGTAAAGCAAGCATAATGACGATCAGAAGAATTTATTTAATAAATTGTATTGTAAATTGTATCGTAAACAGCAAATTTATTCCCCTTATTGCCTAAAATCCTTTCTTCTATCTTATTAAAGAAAGTCTTAATAAGAAATACAAATATAGAAATTTAAATATGAATTAATATGTTACACGTGCTGTTTTTTCTTACAGGAATTTTGAATTAAAGCATTACGATCCGCACAAAAATAAAATATTTCAGTAACGTTTGTTTAATGAAACATTCTAAACATTTTAAATTAGTTTTTTAAAAGATTATAAGTTTGATAAATATTCCGAATACAAATTAAATAAATGAGCTGATATTGTTTTCCACACGATTTAATTTTAACGTAAAGTCATTTCAATTGAATCGCAAATATTAACCGTTTTTAATTTTCAATTTTTAATTATTCCAAGCAATTCAATAGCAATTTTATATTTAACTTTATAATAAGGTTATTCATTTTCATCAAACAGGAAAATATCGATAGTGAAATATCGAGCGTATAATTGTACGACGGAAGCTATCTAGTATCTACCTCGTTCAGTCGCGGACAATAATGTACCATGCTACGATACCGAGATCGATTCAAAGTACGTCCTTGTCTAAGTTTGAGCACCTACGTGAGGAAGTCGTCCGTGCGGATCTCCTCGGGTACAGCGGTGATTACGCGAGCGCGATTACGCGGTACCCGAGAATGGCGTCTCTGTGCGTATATGTCGTTGGGATAAATTAGCCGTGGCAATTAGTTTCGGAATCGACCTCGCCGGGTGGTTGGCGCCACCATCTTGATTGCGCCCGGGGAAGAACCTTCGAAGACAGTAGCCAGCACTGTTTGCCGAAAGGCCCGCGCCGTTCGCGCGGTCTAATTAGCGATGCCCACCGAGATATCGCCGACGTGCGCTAATAATACCGAGCATAAATATTCCGAATTTTTTCGTCTGGTGGCCCGTCCGCCCCTGCTAGCCCCCTTTCATCCACGTGCCGCCGTCTGCAATATATCATTTTTGCATTAGTTAATTGCAGCTTTGTTCCGCGGTTCTCGACACTTGAAGCATTCACAAATAAGAGGATCTAGGAGATCAGACATCTCTAAGCAAAGCTAAACAGAAATTCTAGGAAGTAAATTTGTGGAGCTACAAGTTGGTGTCATAGCGATCGTCACGAGAGAAATACGAGACACTTATGAAACACAATAAAGATAAAATGAAATAAACTAATGTATTGTGTCTAATAACATCTTATCATAATATGTGTTAATATGTGAAACAGTTAAAGTATTAAATATCCTGCATTATTGCACTATATAATTGCAAATCTTATTTATGATAATTGGCACATTATTTATAAAAATTGAAGCTGTACTACTGTAATTATCAACAGCTTTTATCTTCCAAAGAATATAGCTATATATCGTCACAAAAAATCCTAAAACATACATATACAAACTTGTAAATTCATAATCAATTTTATCTTATCATTCTCATGATGCAACCAAAGTTAAACATCCTCACAGAAATATATCATTTTGCTATTTATAACATAAGATATTAAATAGTATTCACAAAATAATTTTTATGACTGATTAAAATTAATGAACATGATAATAAAATCTTTCTCAAATTAACCTCATAAACTTTACGAGAGAAATTGCTTGTTAGATGCTTCTTTGTAGATTTAGGATACACTTTTAATTATCTTTTTAATTAAATTTAATCTGTGTAAGTCGTCACAAAAAATCCCACGTTAGAATATTCTCCGAAGAACTGGATGATATGTACGTGCCTGAATTTTAATCGTGCAATTAGTCGCCAGTCATTATTGCCTGTTTCAAGAAAGTAAGATAACGTCAGATCCTATCACGCGAGCTACCGTATTGCTTGTTGGATTTTATTACGAAAACAGAACATTCATATACTTTGCTACTATCTCTTATATCGAAGAAAAACTTCAAATTCCATGTCTTGCATTTTATTTTTATATAATGATATTTCATATATAGAATTTTTTTTAATATTTCCATTATTAACATTTTAATTATATATAGCACATATATTATTCATAATCATACATATAATTTTATAAACATTATATATATGTTATCTATCAGAGAGATACTTAGAAATTAGAACCCTCTGGTATATTTCTGAACTCTTATCAGTATATTATTAATCTCTTATCATGCTCTTTCGAACACAAAGTAAGAACTAATAATAACTTGTTTATAAAATATAATTTTTATACAGCATTCGAGTAATTGTACAATTGTTCTAGTAACGATCAACGTTTAAAGTTTTTTTTTACAAATTTTTGATTTTTACATTTCTATGGAATAATATACACATTACAGATCAGTTATATATATACAAATTTTACGTTATTTTTCTTCTGTAATAATAAGATCAAGGGTTATGAGTCGTCGTAATCTTGTCGAATGTTTTATACCAAATATGTCAACAGTATCTACATTTAATCAAAGTATAAAATGCAAGAATTTGCATCTGATTAAAATACAACGTTTCTATAAAAAATATAGTTCAATTATATTCATAAAGAATTAACGTTATATTGATGCCAGAATGTTAACATGAACTGATGTCGCAATCTAATTGCGCATCTTACAAAATCAATGATGGACGTTTTGCAAATAGCAACGATTGTACATACGATTGATTTTTTATGCGCACCTCATTTCCACGGTGCCTATTTACGATCTCGATAAGGCTTGATTAAGTTCAATCGTGGATCGGGTCAAGATCTCTCTACGTTTGATTTTAAAGTAGAAATAGATTAACATTTTAAATGTTCCGAATGCAATTCGGATTTCATGAGTCGCCATTAGTTTCTATCAGATTTTTTCTATCTAGATTTTATATAAGTCTTTATTTACATTCAATATACTGAACAAATGCGTACACGTAATTTTTATTACTTAATTGCATTAAATAATAATGTTAATATTAGAATTTTCAAATTAATTAGTTATTATTAATTCAAAATACAATATATAATAAAATTAATAATCATTATACATATAGTGAACTCGTAAAATTCTTTAGAATAAAATCTCATTCTTTTAGAGTGAGATTCACTTCAAAGAATTTAGAGGAAAAGATTTTTTAGCAATGTATGTATACAATATAAATGCACAAATTATTGTATATGTATAAATGCTTTATCATTTTCTATATTTTTCTGAAAACTTGCAAAACATACAGCGATATATTTAATACTGTAATTCGTTATGATTAAATCTCTAAAATTTTAAAGAAAATGTCAATGTTATATACAAATTATTTCTCGATAATTATACTGGCAATATGCACAGCTGACTGACTGTTACATTATATGTAAACTGCTTGATTGAATCAATGCAAAATCAATGAGATATCTCATACATATATTGACATAAACAACGATAATTAATTATATTTAAAATATCATCTTTATAATAACACTTTATGTTTTGACATAGCAATATATCAAACGTATTATATGTGAATGAATACTGATTTACATATCAGTTTGACCTAATGATCCAACGGTCCACTTAAAAACAAAAATCCTAAATTTACTTCAAGATTTTCAATCTATATATTTATTTTACTTCAAACTGTTCAAATTATTATCGCTTACAAATATAAGAAAGTATGTTTTTCATTTAATCAGAATTTTTTTAACCGAATTAATTATCCAGCTCAATTTTTATCAAAAAATCGTTTTATCAAAAAAGTCATACATCTCAGTTTCTTTTATATAGCAGTAATAACAAAAACTCTTCCTCTTAGTATTAAGCATCTATTATTGATCTCTCAATTAAGTACACGGAATATTAATGTAAGAGAAAGTAATTGCATAGTTAATCGCTGCGTCATAGAAAATCTATGATCGAAAAAAAACACAGTGATTTCGCTTTGCATAAAAAGGTTTCCTGCTAAGTCATCCTGTTTTCGTTATGAAATAACAAACGATAGTTACCAGAAATATACAACCGCGATCCATCAATATTCTCGCCATGTAACGCCGTTTTTATCACGTGTCGGCTCATTTAAATGCTGAGTATGCCTACGTAACACAAGGTGAATCGCTATCGATCATTAACTCTAATGATTTAATTAGCATACCTTTTCGTAGAGAATCGATATTTGCCTATCGACCCGGCTTGTGTTTTTCAATCCAATTATCGGCATTACGGCGCGATCAAAATTATCTGTTGTCGAATTAATGCGCGTGTCCCGCTTTTCGGAGAAGGCGACGCGACGGGGGCGGGATGGGCTTTAATGAGCGATTAACCCGGCGTTACGCAACGAAATTAATTATCTGCCGATAAATGCCTTCCACGGAGGGTGTATTAACGATCGCGATAAACCCGCGTGGCAGAAAACACGCGACGGTACAGATTGTAGATTATTTCGTGCCACTAAACAAATGGGCTCGCGAGTGTTAGACCGATCGTCGCTTCATTCATAACGCCTAACGATTTTGAAATACAAAAATGGATAACCGAGAAATATATCGCATTTTTTTTCAAAGAAATCAATAAATGAATCAAGTATACTGTGATATTAGTAATTCAATCTATAAAATAAAATAAACGGCCTTCTTTCTCTATAATATAACTTTCAAGACTTCAGATTTATTATACATGTACAATTTTTTTTATAATTAGCTCAAATTACGACTTTATTAACGCAAAGTTGAAAAAATTTGGAAAATAATTTGAAATGGTATAATATTGTATATAATTGACATAATTATTATATAAATAATAGTTTTATGGTTCCAAGGGTAAATGAAATAAAAATAAATTGCCTACATAGAGGTTGCTAAAGCATCAATAATAATTTTATATATATATATATATATATAAAATTATTAACACACATATTTATGTAGGCAATTTATTTTTATTTTGAGCGAACGTATAAACATATAATTGCGTCTTTTAATTAATATCGATTATCGAAGTAAAAATATTTTTCGAACAAAATTAAACATTCATGTAAACATTATG